GTATTAGGATATGTCTTTTTTTTTTTTCAATAAATATAATCGTTTATTTCAATGGTTAATAATGTAAATGTTACTTTAAAAAAAATCAACCTGTTCACACATTTGTATATTAAACACTGAAATGATTATTCCATATTGATAGTAATTTTAACCTTTTTTTTTTTTTGTAACAGTCAGTCTTTATTAAAAAAAAAAACTAGGGCTTCCCTGGTGGCGCAGTGGTTGAGAGTCCACCTGCCGATGCAGGGGACATGGGTTCGTGCCCCGGTCTGGGAAGATCCCACATGCCGTGGAGCGGCTGGGCCTGTGAGCCATGGCCGCTGAGCCTGAGCATCCGGAGCCTGTGCTCCACAACGGGAGAGGCCAGAACAGTGAGAGGCCCACGTACCGCAAAAAAAAAAACAAACAACAACAACAAAAAAAACAAAGAAACAAAAAAAAATTGGGGGTAATATTCTTATAATAGACTATGGGCAATGCAGATATCTCAACTTATCCATCAATTATGATTATCTGTGTTATAATAGGAAATTCACAGAGTAATCAACCTACTCGGGTATTTATTTGAGGGAGACCTAACATTCTGTTTTTTGTTTTTTTTTTGCGGTACTCAGGCCCCTCTCCTGCCGTGGAGCACAGGCTCTGGACGCACAGGCCCAGCGGCCATGGCTCACGGGCCCAGCCGCTCCACGGCACGTGGGATTCTCCCGGACCGGGGCACGAACCCGCGTCCCCTGCATCGGCAGGCGGACCCTCAACCACTGCACCACCAGGGAAGCCCACATTCTGTTTTGTTTACATCACTGCCTCCTCTTCCATCCTCCACTCTGATTCTTTCAGTCAACCAAACCTAAGTGCAAGTAATACATGTAGTTGAATGGATGCCTAGGGAAAGCTACATATTTGAATAAGATTCAAATCAAACAGGCAGATTTTTAAATTATTTAAAGAATATGTCATTGTATTGATTATTCTATGTCAGTTCACCTAAGACATGGTAGGCCTTTGGATTCTAGGACAAGAAATTTTATGAAGGTTTTTTTAAAAGATGTATTCCTGAATTTATTTGTTTGTACTTGTTTATTTGAAAAATAACTTAGGTATCTTGTATAATAATATATAACTTTTTGAAAGAGAATGAAATAGTTTTAAACAAATTTTTAAAAACTACTTATTTCCTTTCGTTTGTCTCTAGGTATTTTTTGATTTCTTCAGTGATCCATTGGTTGTTTAGTAGCATATTGTTTAGCCTCTGTGTGTTTGAATTTTGCAGTTTTTTTCTTGTAGTTGATTTCTAGCCTTATAACGTTGTGGTCAGAAAAGATGCTTGATATGATTTCAGTTTTCTTAAATTTACCAAGGCTTGCTTTGTGGCCTAGCACGTAATTTATCCTGGAGAATGTTCCATGTACTCTTGAAAAGAATGTGGACTCTGCTTCTTTCGGATGGAATGCTCTTTAAATATCAATGAAGTCCATCTGGTCTAATGTGTCATTTAAGTCCTGTGTTTCCTTATTGATTTTCTTTCTGGATAATCTGTCCATTGATGTAAGTGAGGTGTTAAAGTCCCCCACTATTATTGTGTTACTGCCAATTTCTCCTTTTATGTCTGTTAACATTTGCCTTATATATTGAGGTGCTCCGATATTGGGTGCATATATATTTACAGTTGTTATATCTCCTTCTTGGATTGATCCTTTGATCATTATGTAGTGTCCTTCTTTGTCTCTTGTGACAGTCTTTATTTTAAAGTCTATTTTATCTGATGCTAGTATTGCTACTCTGGCTTTCTTTTGATTTCCATTCATGTGGAATACGTTTTTCTACCCCCTCACTTTCAGTCTGTATGTGTCTCTAGATCTATATGAGTTTCTCATAGGCAGCATATATATGGGTCCTGTTTTTGTATCCATTCAGCCAGTCTGTGTCTTTTGGTTCGAGCATTTAGTCCATTTACATTTAAGGTAATTATTGATATGTTATGTTCTTATTGCCATTTTATTAATTGTTTTGGATTTGTTTTTGTAGGTCTTATTTTCCCCCTTTTGTTTTTATGGTAAAACTTTTATGATAAAAACTCTTCAGAAAGTAGGCATAGAGAGAACATACCTCAACATAATAAAGGCCATATATGATGGACCCACAGCTAACATCATACTCAATGGTGAAACGCAAAAAGCATTTCCTCTAAGATCAGGAACAAGACAAGGATGCCCACTCTCGCCACTTTTATTCAACATAGTTTTGGAAGTCCTAGCCACAGCAGTCAGAAAAAGAAAAAGAAATAAAAGGAATCCAAATTGGAAAAGAAGTAAGACTGTTACTGTTTGCAGATGACATGTTGCTATACATAGAAAATCCTAAAGATGCTACCTGAAAACTACTAGAGCTCATCAATGAATTTGGTAAAGTTGCAGGATACAAAATTAATATACAGAAATCTGTTGTATTTCTATACAGAAACAGTGAAATATTAGCAAGAGAAATTAAGGAAACAATCCCATTTATCATTGTATCAAAAAGGGTAAAATACCTAGGAATAAACCTACCTAAGTAGGCAAAAGACCTATACCCCCCAAAACTGTAAGACACTGATGAAAGAAATTGAAGATGACACAAACTGATGGAAAGATACACCATGTTCTTGGATTGGAAGAATGAATAATGTTGAAATGACCATACTACCCAAGGCAATCTACAGATTCAGTACAATCCCTATCAAATTACCAATGGCATTTTTCACAGTACTAGAATAAAAAATTTTTAAGTTTGTATGAAAACACGAAAGACCCCCAAACAGCCAAAACAATCTTGAGAAAGAAGAATAGAGCTGGAGGAATCACTTTTCCTGACTTCAGACTATACTACAAAGCTACAGTCATCAAAAAAGTATGGTACTGGCACAAAAACAGACACATAGATCAATGGAACAGGATAAAAAGCCCAGAAATAAACTGATTCACTTATGGTCAGTTAATCTGCAACAAAGGAGGCAAGAATATACATTGGAGAAAAGACATTCTCTTCAATAAGTGGTGCTGGGAAAACTGGACAGCTACATGTAAAAGAAAGAAATTAGAACATTCTCTAACACCATATACAAAAATAAACTCAAAATGGATTAAAAACCTAAATATAAGACTGGATACTATAAAACTCTTAGAGGAAAGCATTGGCAGAACACTCTTTGACATAAATTGCAGCGATATTTTATGGGTCCATCTCCTAGAGTAATGGAAATAAAAACAAATAAACAAATGGGACCTAATTAAACTTAAAAGCTTTTGCACAACAAAGGAAACCACAAACAAAATGAAAGGACAACTTACAGACTGGGAGAAAATATTTGCAAACGATGCTACAGCCAAGGGATTAATTTCCAAAATATACAAACAGCTCATATAGCTTAGTATCAAAAGAACAAACAGCTCAATCAAAAAATGGGCAGAAGGTCTAAATAGACATTCTTCAAAGAAGACATACAGATGGCCAACTGACACATGAAAAGATTCTCAGTGTCACTAATTATTAGAGGAATGCAAATCAAAACTACAATGAGGGCTTCCCTGGTGGCACAGGGGTTGAGAGTCCGCCTGCCGATGTAGGGGACACGGGTTCGTGCCCCGGTCCAGGAAGATTCCACATGCCGCGGAGTGGCTGGGCCTGTGAGTCATGGCCGCTGAGCCTGCACGTCCAGAGCCTGTGCTCCGCAACAGGAGAGACCACAACAGTGAGAGGCCTGCGTACCGCAAACAGCAACAGCAGCAACAACAACAACAAAAAAAACTACAATGAGCAGGAATTCCCTGGCAGTCCAGTGGTTAAGACTCTGCGCCTCCACTGCAGGGGGACTGGGTTCGACCCCTCCTCAGAGAACTAAGATCCTGCAAGCCCAGGATTTTTTTTGGTGTGGCAAAAAAAAAAAATACTACAATGAGGTATCACCTGACACCAGTTAGAATGGCCATCATTAAAAGGCCTACAGATAATGAATGCTGGAGAGAGTGTGGAGAAAAAGGAACCCTCCTATACTATTGGTGGGAATATAAATTGGTGCAGCCACTATGGAGAACAGTATGGAGATTCCTTAAAAAACTAAAAATAGACCTACCATATGATCCTGCAATCCCACTCCTGGGTATATATCGGGAAATGACAAAAACTAATTCAAAAAGATACATACACCTCAGTGTTCACAGCAGTACTGTTTACAATAACAAGACTTGGAAACAACCTAAATGCCCATTAACGAATGAATAAAGAAGATGTGGTGTGTGTGTACATAGACATACACACACACACACACACACACACACAATGGAATACTACTCAGCCATAAAAAGGAAAGAAATAATGCCATTTGCAGCAACATGGGTGAACCTAGATATTATCGTATTAAGTGAAGTCAGAGAAGGACAAATATGATGTCAATTATATGTGGAATCTTAAAAAATGATACAAATGAACTTATTTACAAAGCAGAAAGAGACACAGACAAAAAAAACAAACTTATGGTTAGCAAAGGGGCTAGTGGGGTGCAGGGGGGGACGTAAATTAGTAGTTTGGGATTAATGTATACATACTACTGCGTATCAAATGGAAAAACAACAGGGACCTACAGGGAACTATATTCAATATCTTGTAATAACCTATAATGGAAAAGAATCTGAAAAGGAGTATGTGTGTGTGTGTGTGTGTGTGTAAATATATATATCTGAATCACTTTGGTGTACACCTGAAACTAACACATTGTATATGAACTATTCTTCAATTTTTAAAAATGGTTATTGAAAAATATTTCCTATTTGTAGAATTGTAATACTTATTATTTTATCATTTTAGTAAATAAATTATTGGAAATATTTTTTACGCTGTTGTGGGTAAAATATAAGGTGTGAGTTCTTACACTAATTTTCTATAAATTTGGCCACATAACTTCAAAATGTTGATTTCCTTTTCCTGCTGTTCACTTAAAAAAAATTTTTTTTTTTAATTTTTAGGTAGAGTCCAAACAGTATATCAGCTGAGTCATGATATTGATGTTGGTCGTTTCCAAACGCTAATGGAATGTTTAACTGGCACTTTTGAAGAAGTGAAAATTTTAGCATTTGATCTTCTAATGAAGTTACCAAAAACATTTGTACAATTTCAGGTATTTGGACTTTTCTTCTGTTAGTGTAAATGTGGTGTATGCATGAAAACTTTCTATCTTAGTAGCAGTTAAAGCAGTCTGTGGATTGTCCAGGCTCTTTGCATCTGCCTTCTTACTAAATCTTCTGTTTCAGTTATCATTAATACCTCTCCTGTTGCAGGTAGTGGAATGGAGAAGGTAGGGATGGGTAGTGGGGAAGGAGGAAATGTTGTAAGAGAAACAAAATCCAAATCAGTGATCTTTGCTTTTTTAAAAAAAATTGTTTTGATAAAAAGGGAGGTGTAGGAGGCAGTAGGTTTTATTGTTTACAAGATTATTGGTAGATTTCAGTTAACTGTGGTCTCCCCAGTTCCCTTGGACATGTTAATATTCAATCAAAACACATCACTTACAGTAACTTGATTTTTTTTTTAGATAATCTCCCTGCATAGTAGACTGGGAAGCTTAGTGTAAATGAGGTAGAGAACATGTTTCTGATCTTCCAACAAGTAATAGCTAAACTGAGACTGAAACTCAGAGTACTTGAGGTTAACAGCATTTCTCTCCCTGGGTGTTCTACCCCATCCCCAGCCCCCATGCTCTTCCTGATGCCTTGCACTTCCCACCATGGGGTGAGAATCAAAGATGGTCTCAGGGGTGAAGGCAAAGCTTGGGGATGGGTCTTCAGGAGACCCTATAGCCCAGGTACTTGGCTCTACCCTTGAGGCTTATTCTGGGGCACTGAGGTCACCAGCAGCTGTCGGGTCACTGGCTCTAGAGCTTTGCTATGGCTCCCTGTTGGAGCTGTATACAGGCCACGGGAGCCTTTAGGGGTGGGAGCTGAGCCATGGTCTGGGCTCTAGCTATTTGGCTCTGTTTAGGTATGGCAGTTTGTAGATGCAGTGGGATTCTGTCGGAGCACATGTCAGAGAGCCTAAGGTGTCTGTTACCACTGCTTCTGGACGGCATTGCAAAATCTCAAACATTTCTGACTTGGGTTCACATTGAGAGTTGCTCCCTGGTGTCCACCTATCCTGGTGGTCTTTCAGGTGCCCTGATGTGCAGAAACTTCTTTGGTGCTTAGGCTGCTAACTTTTGTACTTTATAAGCATTTTTAAAGAAGATGCTTTCTCTTTCTCTGTTTCCCCTTCCACCAACCCTTGCCTTTTACCATTCATCTCACTGTAGCTTCGTATCATATGTATAACTATGCCTCATTCCTGGCTAGTATTTTGAGAGTATCTGGAGTGGGGAAAGGTATATATTATGGCACCTATATGAAAGACCTGGTCCTTACATGGACTATGAAGGCCCCTCAGGGGGGCTCTGTGTATCTAATTTGATAAACACATGCTTGGTATATAGACACAACTTAAAGAATTCAGGAAACTTAGTAGCACATATGGCTTGCTATAGGATTCTGGTAGTTATATATCTGGTCTGGCTTATGTATTAGTAAATGGTCCCAGATTCAAGATTTTAAATTCAAGATTTTAAAATATTAGTTATGTATTGTATTTTCAAAGTCTTTCTTTGGGTATACCCTATGTAATATGTAATTAACTTTTTTAATATAGCTAACTTGAAAACATTTTTTGAATGCTAGCCTAATCTCTCTAAGGATCTGTATATTCATATTTTGATGGCATATCTTTCTAATATATGACTTTACTACTCACCTAGTCTCTTGCCCTTCTTTCTTGTGGAGCTACATATCCAAGGTCTTTATATTTTGATTGACCTGAGATGATAGAACAAAGATGCTCTTTTAGATTCCAAAGGCTATTTATTTTGTTTCTTACTAATTGGTTGGTTAGTTTAGGGACTTAACTGTCAGTTACAAAAAATGGTTGAGATGCTTAACTGATTCTTTCTAATATTTATTTAGATTTGAGTTTTAGCCACTGTCTTTCAGTTTTTTAGGTCATAGAAAATTAAACAGCAAATAGCAAAGAATTTAAATAGTAATAGGCTGATATTTGAGTCTATTATTTGATATTAGAAGACATTATTAAATATTGGTATACCTAGATAATGATTTTTTCCCTTATATTAGACAGTTATGAGATAATCCTAGTAGAATCAATATTGTTGAGCAACGAAACCCTAGGTTCCAGTGTGGTGAACATGCAACTTGTCAACTGTGGAGTTGGGACTAGGATCCATGTCTCCTGTCCTCAGCCCTGTACCTTTCCATGCGTATTACAGTGAACTGCCCTTTGTTCTGTCTTCTTGAGGACAGGCTGTGTGAGTGCATGTTTAGATGAGATATAGGTGTGGGAGCTCTAATGCAGAATTTCTGAGGTTGATCTTACCACTTTATTTTTCACACATATACATGGAGCTTTGCTAGGAACAGCCTGGTGAATTTGTATTTTCATATGTATGTGTATTTTTCTCCATTGAACTAGCTGTATGGGAAGGGGGTGGGGAGAAAGGCAGGAGCATGACTCCCAGTAAAACAAATCTTGACATACAGAAGAACTCTGGGCTATATAGAAATAACGAAGATGATCTGGTTATAGTATAGCAGAATTTCTACAGGAAAAAGTATACTTTTGCTGAAGAAAGAGGTACTTAAAAAAAAAAAGCTTTATCCGGACTTCCCTGGCAGTCCAGTGGTTAAGACTCTGAACTTCCAATGCAGGGGAACTAAGATCCCGCGTGCCACTTGGCGCAGCCTAAAAAAAAAAAAAAACTCCAGCCTATATTCAGAGAATTAATGTTTGTATCGGTTGTCAGTTGTGTGGCATAAATATGTGTTATTCCTTCAAATTAAAGAAATGTTTAAGTGATAATGACTGAGTCTCTGCTTTATCCTAGGATTCAGAGAAGCTACAAGGCTTATTCCAGGCAGCACTGGAGCTCAGCACAAGCACCAAACCATATGACTGTGTAACAGCTTCCTACCTACTGAACTTCTTAATCTGGCAGAACGCTCTGCCGTCATCTCTGTCTGCTTACTTAAAAACTCAGCGGGTTGCATGTGGAGATGGAGATAAGTCTGCTGCTCTGGTGGAAAGTAACACATTAATAGGTTCGTATTGAGTAAATGACCTTTTGCTCTTATTTATCAAAACCAATATCTTACTTTCTTCACTATTAATATGGTTAGGCTATCTAGTGGTTAAGCACTTTGTGGTTTTTTTTTTATTTAAGAGTTTACCAGCATATAAGTATATCATGAATTTCTCCTTTTCAAATAAATAGTTTACTCAACTATATTGCTTCTAAACAGAGGATTCACATTAAATAAGCACATATGCAAATGTACATTAATAGAGCTTTTATTTAAATAAGACCTCTTTCTCTACCAAAAATGTACTTTTTTGCTACAGAAATTTTACTATGACTATAGCCAAATCATCTTTGTTAATTCTATATAGAGCAGAGTTCCTTTGTCTGTTGGGGTTTATGTTTTAACTGGCTGTCATACCCTTGCCTTATACTCTTCCCATATAGCCAGTTCCAAAACCTAGGGTCTGAGTTGATTTAGATCTAATGATTTTAAACAAATATTTGTTGGGGGTTCATGTAGTTAATTTTATCCTAGTAAATCTTCATTTTGGAATTGTACTAGAAATAAGGATAGGTAGAGATTTTTATTAAACAAAACAGAGGTCAGATGTTGAAAGAGAGTTGACAATTATTCTCTCCAAGATAGTAGAAAAAGCCATGAAAAAGAGACCTAATAATGGGAGAAAATTAGGAGGCCATGGATAGTTCTGGTGGAAATGTGGCCATAGAGCTGGGGATAGAGAGATGACAGTGCCATGGAACATGACATGTGCCGAACTCTAATTGCTTCAGGGCTGGATTCCAGAGGAGACCCCAATAAGATGATAAGAAGAGGTCTGCAATTGGGGTGAACTGGGGAGTTCATACTTCATGTAAAGCCTTTCAAATTTAAGACATTTTTAAACTTTTTGAAATATTTCAAACATACAAAGAATATTTAAATATATAGGATTTAAATAGTAATAATATAAAAATTTCACAAGTTCTGTCCCCAAGCTAGGTAATAACACTCAGCTTAAGAAGTATTGATACAACAGCACCCATAACTTTGAAGCCTCTTCTTTATCCTAGCTCCCTCCTCCTACCATGTAATTACTGCCCTATGTTTTCCTTCCTTCCTTCTTCCCTCCCTCCCTCCCTCGCTTTCTCCCTCTCTCCCTTCCACTGTGCCAGGTCTTAGTTGTGGCATGCGGGCTTCTTAGTGGCGGCATGTGAACTCTTAGTTGCACGCCATATGCTGCATGCATGTGAGATCTAGTTCCCTGACTAGGGATCGAACCTGGGCCCCCTGCATTGGGAGTGCAGATTCTTACCCACTGGACCACTAGGGAAGTCCCTCCTATACACTGTTGATGGGAATGTAGAATGGTCTGGCCCCTTTGGAAAACAATCTGGTAGTTTCTTGAAAGGTTAAACATATAATTACCATATGATTCCACAGTTCCTCTCTTGGGCATTGTCTTAATCAGCTCAGGCTGCTATAACAAGATACCGTAAAGTGGGTGGCTTAAACAACAGGCATTTATTTCTCACACTTCTGGACGCTGGGAAGGTTAAGATTAAGGTGCCAACAGATTTGGTTCCTGGTGAGAACCCTTTTCCTAGTTTGTAACAGCAGCCGTCTCAGTCTGTGCTCACATGGAGGAGAGAGTAAGCTCTGGTCTGTCTTCCTCTTCTTATAAGGACACTAATCCCATCCTGGGGGTCCCACCCTCATGACCTCAGCTAAACTTGATTACTTCCTAAAGATTCCACCTCTAAATTTCTTTGCATTGAGGGCAAGGGTTTCAGCATGAATTTGCGGGGGGACAGGCAGGGACACACAAACATTCAGTCCATAATGGTCATATACTTAAGAAAAATGAAAACTATGTCCAGACAAAAACTTGTGCATGAATGTTCATAGCAGCATGATTCATAATAGCCAAAAAGTGGAAACAACTCACATGTCCATCATCTGATAAATGGATAAATAAAATGTGGTATATCCATACAATGGACTGTTACTGAGCTGTTAAAAGTAATGAAATATTAATATATGCTACAACATGGATGAACTTTGAAAGAAGCCACATATTGTATGATTCCATTTATATGGTATGTCCAGAAAAGGCAGAAAATGCTTAAGTCCAGAATAGGCAGAAAAAATTGCCTAGGACTGGGGAAGGTGAGAGGTGCAGGGAGGGGAGTGACTGATAATGGGTGAGACTTTTTTGAGGGGGAGAGGATGAGAATGTTCTAAAATTGACTGTGGTGGTGGTTGCACATAGCTGTGAATATCCTAAAAATCCTTGACTTGTACACTTTAAGTGTATAAATTGTATGGTATATGAGTAATATATCAGTAAAGCCATTGTTTTTTAAAATCTGTCCAAATAGCACATGGCACATAGGCCTGGGGTCTGTTAACCCAGGTAGAGGATGTCTAGGAGAAATGATCCAGAATGAATGCTGTAAATGGATCCAGGAGGTTAGGGCAAAGACACAGTACTACCTTAACTGGAAATGGAGAACAGGCTGGATAACCTTGAAAGATCTCTTTTTTCATTCAAAAACCTCTAGTATAAAGTTCAACTGAGTTGGGTGCTTTCGTGGAAACTGTTCTGCTGTGTACAAATTTGTAAATGTGTTTTTAAACTGGCGTTATTTTGGTGGGTTTTTTTGCTTTTTCTAGTTATTAAATGCTTGTTGGAAAATCTTGAGGAAGAAGTATCTCGGGCTGAAAATTCTCTGCTTCAGGCAGCAGCATCGTTTCCAATGTACGGGCGGGTCCACTGTATAACAGGAGCTTTGCGGAAGCTAGCTCTGAAGTAAGTATATCCCTCCTGCTCTTTCCTCAGTACTCACTTCTGAGCGTTAAACTCTTATTGGAATGTGTCCTGGGAAAGGAACATATTGCCTTAAAGGTAATTAAAAATTAGATTTTAAAATGTACATATAGGGCTTCCCTGGTGGTGCAGTGGTTAAGAATCTGCCTGCCAATGCAGGGGATACAGGTTCGAGCCCTGGTCCGGGAAGATCCCACATGCTGCAGAGCAACTGAGCCCGTGTGCCACAACTACTGAGCCTGTGCTCTGGAGCCCGTGAGCCACAACTACTGAAGCCCACGAGCCACAACTGCTGAAGCCCGTGCGCCTAGAGCCCGTGCTCTGAAACAAGAGAAGCCACTGCAATGAGAAGCCCACGCACTGCAACGAAGAGTAGCCGCCGCTCACCGCAACTAGAGAAAGCCCGTGTACAGCAGCAAAGACCCAACACAGCCAAAGATAAATAAATAACTTTATTAAAAAAAAATACATATATACACATATTTTTATGTCATAAATATTTTATAGATTGCATGATTTTGAAACCCAAATTCTTTTGACCCCTTTTGTCTATTAATTTCATCATGAAAATGTGATTTTTGCTCTTAGTGTAAACTACCCTAATGTCTTTGTTGCAGCAGCCTGCAGTTGGTGAGTGAGTGGAGACCCGTGGTGGAGAAGCTCCTTGTGACGTCCTACAGGCTTTCCGCCGTGGTGTCTCCAGTTATTCAGAGCTTCTCCCCAGAAGGCCTCATCCCCATGGACACTGATGCAGGTCAGTAAACGAAGAAAGCTAGAATTACTATGTTTTTTTCCCCTAATCATTTCTTCAGAGAGATACAGAGGCTAAATAGGGGGAAAAGAAATTATTATTATGACTAGTGATATTTCTGCCTTTTTAGTAGTATTTTTAACTATGAAAAAATAACGAAAATAAATAAATAGCCAGGTGATCAGCAAGGCACTTCCTCCTCTGGGGTAAATTGGGTTTTATAATATGTCATTTCAGAATACAACCTACCAGGGTTGTATTCTGGCAGGCAGTATAAAAATTAGAAGTTGATGGGGTTCAGTCAGAGAAGGCAACTTGTTAGAAATCTGAATAGGCAAAGACCATTGGACATACAAAGACCATTTAATTTAAAAAAAAAAAAAAATTGGAGGAGATAGTTAAAATGCCCAAAACCGAACTCATGAACTTTCATCTGTCTTTTCCTTCCCAACCCTTGTATTTTTGCAAATGGCCCTACCAGAGACCTGTTTATGCAAATCAGGAGCCTAGGGCTGCTTGACATCTCCCCTTTGCTCCTTATATCTAGCCTGTCTCCACGTTCTTTCAGTGGTGCCCCTTAAATAGCTTTCAAATCTCTTTTTCTTTTATCTGTATCTTCTTACCTTACTGTAGGCTTTTATCCTCTCTTGTTTCCCCACATCTACTCTTATCTCCTTCCATTTCCTTTTTACCACATCCAAAGTAATCTTTTCTAGTCATATAATCTATCATGTTACACATAATCTTTACTTAACCCTGTGCTCTGCCCACCCCCTCTTTCTTTTTATTTAAAATACGTTAGTGACCAGGTCCTGTAATAGTTTTGCTCCTGCTACCTTGCCAGTCTTGTCTCTTAGCATTCTCCCCTTCTCATAGATTTCTCCTTCATGGAGTTGTTGCAGTTTAACAGGAATCTTGTCTGTTTTCCTCCCTTGTGCTTAGCACAGTGCCTGGCAGAAGGAGGTACACTATCAATAGTTGTTAGAATGAATGAACAATTCCTGAAAGTATAGGAACTAAATTCAGTGCCTGGGATGCCCTTGGTGGTATGTGTATACAGCAGTTCCCTCTTAATCTGAGGGCTGTATGGTCCAGGACCCCCAGTGGATGCCTGACAGTGCAGATAGTACCAAACCCTATACAGACTATGTTTTTTCCTATACATACATACTTATGTTAAAATTTAATTTATAGATTAGGCACAGTAAGAGATTAACAATGATAACCGATAATAACAGAATAATTATAACAGTATACTGTGATAAAAGTTATATGAATGTGGTCTCTCTCTGTTTCTCTCAAAAAATCTTACCACATTGTGCTCACCCTTTTTCTTGTGTTGATGTGAGATGATAAAATGCCTGTGTGATGAGGTGAAGTGAGGTGAATGACGTAGGCATTATGACGTAGTGTTAGGCTACTGTTGACCTCCTGGCGATACATCAGAAGGAGGAGCCCTGACGATGTTGATGGTTGGATGTCAGCTGCAGACGATGTTGATGGTTGCGGATCCCAGGTGGGATGGAGAGGGACAGTGTGAGGGGATTACTGGATCTGTACTACAACAGGCCAGAAGGGATTGGCCGTTAAAGGTATATACTAACATGAACGTTCCTTTGAACACCTAGAAAATCATGAAGTAAATTTATATTTTGGTGTTGAAATAAAGTTGGTGAATGCATTTTGGAGTGCAAATGAGAGGCTTCTATTAAAAACATACTGAGTAAATCATAAACACACACTGCATCATACAATACAATACTTTGGGCCGATAATTAAACTAATCTAGAGTTGTGTGGTTGCATAGAAAATGTTACGTTTTGTTCTTCACTAAAAATGAGTTGGAAGGTTGGTGGTGGTTCATGATACTAAGATACAGTTATAGATTTATTTTGGCTGATAGTCTAAATACTAAAATTTGTTGGTTTAGTTTTCCTACTTCAACAGTGCATAGGAATAGAGAACATCCAGTCTGATAGCTAATATTTGGATCAGGCCATACCAATATATTTTGGGTGAGAAATCTTGAATGTTTGTCACCAGTTGTGGGTAGGGCCTTCAGAGTATGCTAAAATTTTGTTTGTTATTAAAGTTTTAAAATATCTGTCAGTCTCAAAAGCTGTCTATGGTCCACTAACTTTTCCTTAATTTTGCCTTTTCTTTTTTCCTCTGGTTGTCTCCATTTTTCTTATGTCTTTCCCATGTTATCTGCCATGCATTCTGAATTCTTTGAAAAAAGTCTCCCCTGAAAGCCACAAAAATGGTTCTTAAAATTTTATTCTGGTTACCCCTCTCTTTTTTCTTAATCTTTCTATGGTTTCTTTTTGGGCCAGTGTTACTTTCTCGTGGCTGTCAAAATTTGTTTTTGGCAAAATTTCATGTAAGCCACAAGTAAACATAAGATGTTGGCTGAACCATTATGATAGCAGTTTGGGTCTTTGTATTTCCCATAATACCTAAAATATAAGTGTGTATAATAGGTATACAGTAAGTAACCCATTCTTTGATTTGTTAATTGGTTTCAGATGATTACCTGTTGTTATTTTTCTTTCAAAATCTGAGCCTGCCTAGCTCTTTATTACCTAGTCATCCATAAATTCCTTCAGCCCATGTTACTGAACCTCTGCCATGACCCAGTTTCTGTTCTAGGCACTAGCAGTTGAGCAGTGAACAAAGTCTTGCATTCGTGAAGTTTACATTTCCTAATCCAGCGAGTGCTTACTAAGAAATAAAAATGAATTTTAATATAATACTAGGACTGGAAATCTAACTTAGAAAGCAGTATATTACTTATTCATTTCAAAGCCAAATACGGAGTTTTCATGGTATTCCTGGGCCATAAAAGATTATTTTTGTTGGTAGTGGGGTTTCTTACCTCTTAAAACAAAATTCATTGAAGTTTATTGCTCTTCCTTCATCTATTTGAGCACTGTATTTGAGATTCTTAGACAACACTGAGAAAAGCAATGTAAGGGAGATGGCAGCCTTTGTCTATGGACAGTTTCTGTTGTGCTTTTTTTGTCCAATCTTCACCCTATTTAAAATATTCACCATATTTTGAAAGTACACTCAAGTGTCATGAAGACCTTATATAAATAATTTTCACATTATCCATCCTGTGAGTCCCTTCTTATAGTGCTAATTATCAAGTACTGAAAATTAGAAAATTTTTTTTGGCTGTACGCGGGCCTCTCACGGTTGCGGCCTCTCCCGTTGCGGAGCACAGGCTCCGGACGCGCAGGCTCAGCGGCCATGGCTCACGGGCCCAGCTGCTCCGCGGCATGTGGGATCCTCCCAGACCGGGGCACGAACCCGTGTCCCCTGCATCGGCAGGCGGACTCTCAACCACTGCGCCACCAGGGAAGCCCTGAAAATTACAAAGTTTTTGAGGGCAAATACCCGCGAGGGAAGCCTTCATGTGATGTGGAACTGGGGTTTTACATAATCTCATCTCTCTCCCTCAGAGTCAGCAAGCCGCTTGCAGACGATTTTGAATGAGATTCAGCCCCGAGATACTAATGATTATTTCAATCGAGCTAAAATTTTGAAAGAATGTGATAGCTTTGATTTGGAGGACTTGAGTGCCAGTGTACCGAATATTGACACTTCTGCAGAAATCAAAGGTATATATAAAATCAGCATTGTAGTCAGTATTTAAGTGACAAATAAAATGTGCAAAATGCTCTTTTTCTATAGTAAATCAGAGGCAGCAAATGTGTGTAGTACACTTCTAGAAAATAAAGTCTTTTTTGAGCTTATAAATGATTTATTTTGGGGAATGAGTTTATAAGACTTTACCAGAAAATGGTGTTCACCAGTGCAGTGTATAAGGTGCTTCAGCAAAAAGCCTTTGAGTACTGAAACCTGTCTTGACAGCCAGGTGATGTAGGAACAGTGATGCACAGTGAACTTGGGTTTGGGGAGCAGTCTGCTTCTCTCAGCACTATGGTTTGATGTTGTGAGAGTCCTCGTAGTCAGTCAAACAGCCTTTTAAAGGAAACAAATTTATGACTCAGAGAAATGTGAGCTGCTCTGTTGTACCAGGCCTCCAGAATTCAAATTCTTACTGTTTGTTTTCTCATTAGTTCTTTTATAATTTTCTATAATGCTGTAAAAAGTCATCAGAAGCAGTAATATCTTATTTATTTATAACATATTCTACATTCTCCACTAGATGGGGATATTGTCTTGTAAAAATTTCTCTTTATGATTTTTTTTTTTTTAATTACACAAAATAACACAAATGTATGCTTGTGATAGTTTCAAATAATACAGAGATAAATATGAATTAAAAACAAATTAATTTTGTTTTCTTTCATTTTCTTATTTCCTCCTCAATCCTACTTCATCCCTCTTTAGTATACATCATTTCAGACCAATTTTATGTATTTAAGTGTATGTACATTTATCCTTTGAGTTTAGTGGCCTTTTAAAAGACAAATGGGATTACGTTAAAAAGGTTATTTTGTTAACTTACATTTTAAATTTAATAGCTTCTTTTGGATTTTTTTTTTTAATGTCAGTACTAAAATATTTCTAAAGCTAGAAGAGAGTAAGGATTCTTATAGCTAATTGACCATGGAATTTAAATATATTTTGAAAGAGAATTTGTATTTTCCTTTGAAAGGAAGTCGTATCCTATTCTTTTACTGACATAGCAGCCACCCTCACCAAAACAAATAATAAAATATATTTATTATAGTCATATTTTATGGATGACTGAGAGGCAGGAAGAGTTTGTTTCATTAACTTCCAAAGGTTAGACTTCGGTTTTAGAATAATATTGTGTTTTATTTTAAAATTTATTTTGAATATAGTATATTAAATAAAATACTGTGATTCCTACCCATAACACATTCCCAACAAATGTTAGTTATTTTCTCCTGAATAAATATAGCATATGACAAATTGGTTTGTTCAAGCAGATTATTCTTGGGGAAATTATGAATAAGCTTGTTCTAAGAAACCTGGGATGTGAGTAATCAAGTGTCTAGTGTTGCAATAGTTTTTTTTTTGTTTTTTTTTTTTAAGGTAAAGAAGGAAAAACATGTGACGTAACTGCTCAGATGGTGCTGGTATGTTGTTGGAGAAGCATGAAGGAAGTCGCTTTACTCTTAGGCTCCCTGTGCCAGCTTCTACCCATGCGGTCTGTGCCAGAATCTCCTGATGGATTATTGACAGTGGAACAGGTAGGGTAGCTGTTTATTCCACCTGGTATAATTTCTGGCCAAAGCATAAATCACAAACTTTTATTTAAAAGTTAAATAACTTAAAAAAAATTTTTTTAATAACTTAAAAAACAATTTTAACATTTTTCTTGAATAAAATCTTACAGATGTCAACTGAAGAAAGTTCGTTAAAGTATAGGAATTGGATCTTGCAATCCATTTCCAAACTTTGGCATTTTTAGAAATGTTTTTATTTTTCTAAGTTATATAAATAATGATAGCTTTTACCTCACTTTTAACTTCAGTATTAACATTTGAATTTTTATTTCTCCATTTAACACACACAAACTTAAAATTCAAATGTAAATGAAATTGTCTATTTAGTAAAACTCCACAAACCTCTTAAATTTTGCAAAGAAAAAAATATATATATATTTTTTCTTTATATACTGGTTGATTATGGATCTCATGTTTCCCTCTACATTGATGATAAAGTTGTAGTTACTTTGGTTTTTTTGGCTGACTTTTATTTTAAGACCACAAAGTCAGTTCCATCTGGGACTATTCAAGTGACTTGAGTGCAGTGTTTATAAGAAATTAGCTTACCACAAGCATTTCATTTGGAAATATTTTAGATTTATTAGATTTCTGTTTTTAATTGATTCCCTCTTCCTTTCCATATGGTTTCAACAAATTCATTTCCCACCATTTTCCAGCAAAGATACATAACATGTACTTTCATTTTTAACCTTTTTCAAATAAAGATAATTTCTCCCGTAGGGTGTTATGACATTTAAGAACAAAACAAATATTGTAGTATGCTAATGCTGATTATTTCTGTAATAACCATGTGACCAGTTCCATGGAAATAATGCTAATATTTTTATTCTCACACTCTCTGTGGCTGATGTGTTTGCATCTGGTTAACAGCTGGGCTTGTGATGTTGCAAGGCTCTGAGACAGAGAACGGCAGAGGGGAACAGAACACTGCCAGCTTCATTATGTTCCTTATTCTCTTCCAAATCAAACAGGCGTTAGTGTCCTAGAGTTACTTGCAGTCCTTACTGGTGACTGGCTGGAGTGCCAGTGCCAGCGTCTTTGCTGAGGAATCCAGCTATGATTAATGATTACTTCACTGATGTTCACCATCTCACTAAGAAGTAAATATGGGCTAGAGCCCCTTGACTTCTCAACTTTTCAAGGACAAGTTAAAACATCTAGTGTTTTAGGTTTGTTGGCCAGTGTTTAAAAACAAAATTAAGGGAAACATATTTTACTTTTACTATAACTGAGAAAGACCTGAAAGCTTCCTGTGAAAATCATTTCGCCCTGACACCTTTTACAGAGCACCCAAATCTTATGAAGTTATATGGGATATCCAGGTTAAATTAGGAATTAATTTTTTAGAATTGGGAACTATATAAAATAGAAGAGATGTTTGTAAAACAACAACAATAACAAAGAGAGGCTCTTATAAACCAAAGAGCTCTTCTGATGACTGTTTTCTTGAATAAGAAATAGAATCCTGTTTTTCTGTAAAATATCCATTTCCATTCTAATAAGGTCCAGTCATTTCTCCATGTCGCCATTCATGTGGTGACCCCACATATATATGTTTGAGAAGAAATTAATGACTGAGTGAGTGAACAAGAGTGTATGTGATAGCACTGTTCTGACATTGAAACCCTGCCCTCTGTGGAAAACTTTAGTCTTGATCATGCTAAATTTTACTAAAAAAATTAAAATGCTCTTAAAAAATTTTTAATTTTTTTACATTTAAAAAAATGCAGGGGCATTTAGTCAATGAAATCTAAAGTTATCAAGAAATTAGTATTACTTATATTACTAGAGGATTCCTGCTTTTAAACATATAGTTTTGTTCTGTGAAATTCCTTTAAACTAAACATATTCCTATGTATTTAGTACTTTTAAGAGTTAAAAATATAAATGACAGAGAAGAATGCAGTCTGCATTGGAGTGCCGGGGCCACACCTAGGGTCTACCTTCCTTCCAAGGGCATAGCCGCCCTGGCATCACTAGTTCTTCTGTGCACCTAGTGGCAAAGCTACAAATGTACGCGTCAACAGTGTAGGTGAATGTGACCACAAGAGACCTGCAGAGGCAGTGAAGTGACTTACGGGCAGAATGCTCCGCGTTGTTGGGGAGAATTGGGAACTTAGATTTCTTATTACCAAGAATCATAAAAACCATGATCTCCTTTTCTCTCAGTGGATGAAGGAAGTTGTTCTATAGAACCTGAAATACTGGTGTTCAGCCTGTTGCTTCTCTTGTTCTCCACTCACCCTTCACTACTGAAAAAGGAATAGGATTCTACTGCCATTTTATATTTGAGGTCTCACATTTTGACGACGGAGAGGATTTCTCATGGAACTCAGCTCCTTTAAGCCCATCCTGATTTTACAGCCCTTTGTTAAAGGGGTGACAGCTTCCATCCCCCATACATGAGTATAGTTTATACTAGGCCAGCAGGTGGTGAGACTCCAATTTGGGGATTTTTGCTGCTGTACGAGGAGAGGAGCTGGTGCTCGCTTATAATTCTGAGTATTCAGTGCTGTATTCACATACTGTTGGAGCTGGAAGGCTCACAGAGATGATATTATCCAGCTCTCTTGCACAAGGGGAGACTGAAGCCCTTGGATGTTACCTGGTTTGCCCAAGATCACAAAGCTGGTTTGTGGCAGCTCTGGGACAGGAACCTGATTCTTCTGCTTCCCAGCCTGTATTCCGACATGACACAGTGCTGCCTTTGTTCTGAATGGCTTATTTAATTTTTCTTTAAATTTAATTTTCCCAGCTTCCCATAGCCAACCAGATTTTTGCAAGCAACAGGACAGTAAGGCAACTTGCTACTGAACTTTATAGCAAATGATCCATTCCCTTAGATGATTGCTTGTGAAGGAGTGTGTCCTCTGTGACTTCATCAAGAAGAAAATGTGTTCATTCAGAGGCATGTCTGACCCTTCTCCTGCGCTGTAATCACGTTATGAAAGGTTCTTTCATAATGTCCCTGTCCGAGAGGCAGAGATAAAACCAGCTTTGAGGGATGTAAGTCGAGACCCTTAAAGAGTGAGCAGTGCATGCAACCTTATCTCACAAACTTCCTGACTGGTGTGTGTCTGGGTTTCAAGCTGGGTGCTTTGCTGATGCAGAGCTTTTGCTTGATACATTGTTGGTCCTCTTTCCATGGGATATCGGATACCCGGTACCTACTGATTTTTTTAAACTTCCTCTACCTGGACTATCAGTTCATATGTTTATATATTTCCCCTAATATTCCTAAAAAGAAGCTTTTGGGTAGATTTTTTTTTTTAATGTATCTGCTTTCTGCTTCCTAGGAATTATTGCCACAGAAATCACGTGATTAAGAATAATTACCAACTATTAGAAATGAGCAATTTTAAAAACTCCTACTTTAGATTCTATTGTAATTTTCATGATGTACATGGCTAACTGGGTTTATATGTTCCCTCAGTACCTTTTGTTACTGTTTTAGGTTTTTGTTAATGAACTGTAAGTGGGATGTATGTTTATTAGCATTTGTCAGTCTTAAAGAAATTACCTTTTGTATTTTCTTTTACCAAAGTTTATTTTTTAGAAATTATGAGTAAGTATTCATTGAACTGTGCTGAATGCAGGTTACCATTTTTAAGCTGTGAAGTTGAGCATGTAATTACATCATTTAGTCAACTATTTATTGACTGCCTTACTACAAGGGTGTTGTGGGAATATTAAGAAATAGAATATGTGGTTCTCTGAGCTCAAAGGGCTTGGAAATGTAATAGGGGATACAAGACAAATTCATTTCAAAAAGTCAGACTAAAAGGCAACTGTTAAAATGGCACATGGTTAAGGATTTGCCAGAAAACAAAGAATAAACGTTCTGGTGGGAAGATGTCTGAATACCAGGAAACCATCATCTTTGTTATTATGTAGGACAATGTTTGGGCTTTCACGAAATCCCAAGTGTTAGTAAGAAATCACCATAGTAGAGAATGTCCAGTTTAAAATGTTAATTATCTTACTGTAGTGTAAAATTTTACAAACTATTCCATTTAACCAAAGTGGAATTAGAAACTCCTGTTGACATTCCTAAGGTTGTGGCTGTGTCTTTTTTTTTTTTTTAGTGGTACGCGGGCCTCTCACTGTTGTGGCCTCTCCCGCTGCGGAGCACAGGCTCCGGATGCGCAGGCTCAGTGGTCATGGCTCACGGGCCCAGCCGCTCCGCGGCACGTGGGATCCTCCCGGACCGGGGCACGAACCCGTGTCCCCTGCATCGGCAGGTGGACTCTCAACCACTGCGCCACCAGGGAAGCCCGTGGCTGTGTCTTAAAGTAAAATTTAAATTAAGGTTTAGGGATTAAGTCTCACTACTTGATGACACAAAATGAAAACAAAAATTGACATTTAGCAATATTGATTGCTATGCTCTACCAGGTACTCTGCTAAATGCTTATTTGCATAATCTCATTTATTTCTCAGAATAATCCTGTGAAGTAGGTTCTAGTTTTATCCCCATTTCACAGATGAGAGAACTCTGTTACTTATGTAATTAGCTTGTATTGGTAAGGAGGCTGAGTAGGGTTCCTGAACTCAGCCCTCTTGGCTCCAGAATCCCAGATCTTAACCACTGCACATGCTCTTTGTAGAAATGTCCCACCTGTATACTTGAATCTTTTTGGACTTACTAACTCATAATGAGGGGAATTAGCTTTGATTTTTCTACTGTATTTCTCTCTACTATCTAGATAAAGGACAAACAAAAAATGTATTTACATTTGCCCTTTGTGGGTTTTATGCTCTAAGTGAGCATTTAGCTCCCCTGTTTGGTCTGTTGGTGAATTATAGGTGCCTAGAGACATGGCACGTAGCTAGTCTGTTGGTGAATTATAGGTGCCTAGAGACATAGCATGTAGCTCTCCTCCCCTGTGGAAATTTATACCCTGTAAATCCATAAAGCATGTTAATTTGCCTATAGAAGTAGGTTTTATGGAAGGTTAGAACCAGGATACACTAAACTTAAAAAGATAGTGATTAGAATTTCATTTTAAGAATAGAAATCAGTGCCCTTTTTTTTCCATATTTAATTGTCTTTCAGAAATTCTGAGATATATATTATTTATTAAGAAACTATTTTGTAAAGACATCATCCATGTTAAAAGTTTTTATGAACTTTAAATAGGAGCTAGGTAACTAATAGATTGAAAGGCAATCGAGTTGAATTTTCAGAGGAGTTATTCATTTTTTAAATAAAATTTTGAAATTCTTTTTCTGATTCTACTGTTGTCATAAGTTTCTACAGGGTTAAATATGTTCCCTATAGTCTGATCATCCAAGGGGAGAGTGTCAGCATGGCCCCTGTTCCCTGTCCAGCTGCTCATGGACCACATTGCCCTGTTGACTCCTCCCACCCACTGTGATAGGGTACATCCCTACCTTGCAACCCTGTCTTCCACTATTTTCTAGCATGAAATCTTGAGGCCATTCAGCCAGGTCTGCTATCACTCTCCTGTATAGTCTGTGTTCATTCATGTAAAAAGACCCAGTGAAGTGTCTGACAGGTAGTGGGTACTTAATAAATGTTTGTTCATTTATTCTAGTATGCCAGCTTCTTCTCATGTTAATTATCCTTTTCTGTATTGGTTCACTCATGTATATCCTGTTTAAGGTCTGGCCATGAAGCTTTTTCTAATTATTCATTTCAATGCAAAAAGAGCTGTCATTTCTTAGTGCTGTTAAGCTTTGCTGTTAAGCTTCTGATGGGTACCATCCAGAATATTGGTTTTCTCTGAAAGCCTTTGGAGGACAAACATCTTGTTTTGTTCTTTGCCTACCCAGCACTAAGCTGCTAAGCATTTGACAGGGTGCTAAAAAAGTACTTACTGTTTGATTAATAGAAATATACTCTCTTCAAAGGGAAAAATTCATATTAAGCCTGGGTGTTACCTAGGTGGGTTTGTTGGGAAATTAAGTGCAAAACGAAATGAGAAAAAATGGTCTACCTCTCACTTGTGTCTTTAGAAACTCATTCTGTTTTCTGAGGCCAGGATTACCTAGGGTTGAGGTCTACCCTTCAGAAGAGAGACCATCCACTGGTCTCATTCACCTTTGAGGTCTTTGATATTATTATATGCTTTTTGGTTTAAGCCCCTTTGAAGGGAGTTAAGGTAAAGGAAGCAATGAAAATCTGATCTTTGTTTAAGAACTAGATTGTAAGTCCACAGAGAAGCACTTTACCAGTAACATTTCTGTTTTCCTGAAGTATGTTTTAATATCTGTAACATTAAAAAAAGATTAAGGGTATTAGAGAGACCCCATCTCTACGACTTCCTGTTTTTATTTTTTGTGCCTTAGTACACCTTTTTATAAATCTTCTTTTGTTTCTCTAATAATAGAAATGATGGTCATAACAAGTTAGTTAACTGATGTTTCTTCTGGTCCTGTTTTGTAGGGTTATTGAGCTTCAGGTGTGTCTTGGGGGTTAAATTCAGATTTTGTGCTTGATAATTCTGTTCAAAATATACTCTGAAATTACGTGTTGAAGGTAAAATGATAAGCCTTACCCTGACTCCTGATTTTTGATGACTAGTAGTATGTAGCTTGTAAAAAATATTAAAAATTAGGGATATCATCAGATCTTCACCTGAAAACTTTAGCTGAAGAACATGACATGGCACTCTTTGGGGATATTAAATTGTTAGAATTTTAAAACTTCTGTTATATCCTGCTTTTCTTGTTCTTTCTTGATCTCATATCTGATTCTTATTTCTCTAAATGTATCACCTGTCTTTCTATAATCATATATATTTTGAGTTTAGAGTATGTCGTTAGCTTTCTTCTGTTTGGAAATCCAGACAGAGGTCCCATTGAACTGAATTGGTTTATAAGTTAAGGGCCTGTGCTGAGCTTTTAGATTTATTAACTCATTTTAATACACAATCTGTGAGGCAAGTGCTATTATTATTCCCAGTTTATAGATGAGACTGAGGCAGTTGCCCATGGTTACACGTTTAACTACTCTTTCTACTGTTTATCATCTCTAATGTGTGCAGAATACCAGTCACTGTGCTGAGGTAGAAGTTGTTTCTAGATAAGCCTATGTGAGCTATCTTGGGTTAGCTTGCTTTTTCACCATTCTGTGACATGCTGGGGAGACCTGGATCAAGAGAGAGCCAGTTGTAGCTTTGGTCCTGAGTTTTATACAAAATCTGGATTCTCTAAAGCTTATCAGCTACCAAATCTTATGGTATAAATGTAGAATCAACCCAACCACGTTAACAGTTAATGCTGTACAAAACTTCATCAGCAACTAATTGTCAGTCATGTCTTCTTTAAAGTAGATTGTCATATTTGTTATTTGTTTAAACTTGCATGGAGAAAAGCAGCATGTATGAAAGTGATTGGGTAGCATTCTGGAAAACTCCATGGTTCTGACTCAAAGTGAAGCCTGTCAATTTTCAGGAGGCCCTTTGCACACTAAATCTTGTGTGGCCATTAATATTTGTATATCTCTAAAAGGTGTAATTATTGGGAAGGATTGTTTAATGGGTTGGAGTTTCAGTTTGGGAAGATGAAAAATATTCTGTAGATAGATGGTGGTTGCACAGTAAAGTGAATATACTGAATGCCACTGAATTGTACACTTAAAAACGGTTAAAATGGTGAATTTTATGTTATGTATATTTTAACCATAATAGAAAAAAAATTTTTTTGAAGAGGGGAGTAAAAGGTAATTACTTCACCTCGGCCTAGGTTTGTGAGGGTTGTCACCTTGTGTGATTTGCTGTTGGTGTTGAATCATATGAGCTAACAAAGAGAACACAGCAAGATTTGTGAAGCTGGCATAGGGAGGCAGTTCTAGCCTAGCAGTTAAAGATGGCCAACTCTAGAGCCAGATTGCCTGGATTTATGTACTAGTTCTACCAGCTACTTGCTGTATGACCTTGAATAAGTTACTTGCCCTTTCTGGGCCTCATTTTTCCCAGTTGTAGAGTGGAGATAATAATAGTGCTTTTTTCATGGAATTATTGTGAGAATTAATTGTGATAGTATAAAACGCTTAAAATATTACCTGTTGCATAATAGGTGCTAAGTGGATGGGCATTGAGACCTGAGTTCTAAATAATGTTACTGAAAATAAATAAATAAATAAATAAATAGATGGCGTTACTGACATAAATACATCTGTCAGTGTAAACATAAATGGCATATTTATTTTTGATTTTGTTTTGAAGGTAAAAGAAATAGGAGATTACTTTAAACAGCACCTTTTACAGTCCAGGCACAGAGGAGCATTTGAACTGGCTTACACTGGCTTTGTGAAACTCACCGAAATCCTAAACAGGTAAAACAAAGCAAATATCCCTTTAATTTTAAAAAGATTAAATGCACAAACCATGTGCTCAAAGTAGAATTTAGTTGTGTCTTTTGATGTTTAAAAGAACAGGACTTAGTTGGCTTCAAAACTCTTGGAAGAAATTGTTTTCTTAGGTTTCATTGTATGATTTACTGCAGGTAATGGAGTGAAATGTCCAAACCCAGTCGCTCTCTTATTGAAAGGTGATTTGACACAAACTCAAAGATTTTGCTAAAAACAGATTTGAAGTTACCATTTATTTTCATTGAATGAAATGACTGTTTTGTCTGTTTGAAAATTACTTGGCTTGTGGAATAAAATAAGCCCTCCGGTTTTTTGGATTTGTGTATATTACAGACAGAGAAACACTTAATGATTTTGTGTTTTTCTTCGTAATTTTATCTTATAGAAAAATTTAAAAGAACAGTAAATAGACCAAAAATTATAAAGGACTTTTCCCCCTTACTTGGAAAAATACTTAAGTAGATTTCGTACATTTAGCCAAATGTGTTTTTTTTTTTTTGACATTATAGGTGCTGATAATTTCATTCATTCATATAATAGATTTCCTCCAAAGAGCTTGTGAGGAAACCTTAAATTACTTAATGACTAAGTGTTCATGGCAAGTGTTCTCTAAATAAAAGGTAGTATTTTCCAGGAAAACATTTCCATTGCCTGGAAACTTTTTGAAATGAAGCAGAGTTCTGCCAGCCGTGTAGCCTTAGCAAACATTTTATTTTGGGCCGTTAAGACATCTACTCCTTGAATATTTTTGAAGCATTTTTTTCACACTCCTGGTACAACATTTATAAAACATTTTGGCAGTTATGGGCTGCACGGAATATCTTTAAATGATACATTAAAAAATGTCCTTGACATTAAACTGCTGATCTTGAAAATATTTTGTTGTCTTTGCAGCTCTTTCTTTCCAGTGTAGACATGACTTAAGAATATTTTTTTCTCACAAAACAACACACTTCCCTCCCTTCAAATCAATTAACAAATATATATATTGAACACTAGCGGTGTGCTTAGTACTGTGCTTGGCTTGGAGGATATAATACTTCTTTATGAGACAAGGTTCCTGTTCTCAAAGAGCATATGGTTTAGTTGGGGAAATAAGCAGGGATGAAATTCAAAATATTTAACAAATGGTACGTCATGGGCACTGACTGGTCAGAACAGACACTGGCTGTAAGCACCCAAGATTGCTGTCTGCATGGATGTGTGTTAGCTGAATACCAGCTTGGAAAGTGAAACCAAGACACTTGAACAAGATGAGCCAATGTAATTGTCAAAATTTGGGTGAAGTTTACAAATTCTGTAGGCATAGCAGAGAGAAAGCAACAAAGAAAGGCTGGGAGGGCTTACTGGAGGAGGTGGAATTTGTGCTAATGCATGAGTAAGGTTTAAGTAGATAGGAGGAGAAAGGAGGAGACTTTATGAGTAAATGTTCAGAGGCTAGAACCAGCATGGCATATTGTTAGGTGAGTAAATGAGCCAGGCTGATTTGTGGTGGTGGTGCTGGTGGTAGAGTTACTAGGCAATATCATACATTTGGATAGATGGAGGTCAAATTATGGATACCTAGAAAACAGATTTGCTGTAGTAGGGATGGAGAGAGGGATTGAACATTTTCGACCTGAAATAGATCATAGGAGGCATGTAGAATGGAGAAATAGCAATAATCTATGACACGAGGTCTTAGTTCTACTTAATCCATTCTGTTTATTGGCAATGAGATTGTACAAGTTACTCTCCTCAGCCTCTGATTTCTTCATCTATAAAGTAAGGAAAAGAATATTTGCCCTGTTGACAGATCTCTCTGGCTTTTGTTATATGGATCAAGTAAGATACCTATGTATGAAGACCCTTTTGCATTATTAAACTTTCTACAAATGTAGAACATTATGAGATTGATGTTGGTTATGGTGTTGGTGCATCAATGTAGTGTTTCCTTTGGAAGTGTTAGGTTAGATAGATTGTAGTGACAGATAGTAGTGAGAAGAGACTGGCATCGGCTCTAACAATCTAGAGCTGAGGTGATGAGAGCTTCCTCTGAGTCAATGGCTCTGGGAATGGAGGGAAAGAAGTGGCATCTCAATTAATATTTATCCCCACATAGTAACAACTCTACACATGACATTTTGAATGCTTAGAAGAGAAGCTGTGGACTTCTCTTATTTCATGGTTTGATGTGTCAAGAATTAGGGCAGTGCATAGCTGGGTGATTCTTCTCCTCGGGGTATTTATCGAACTCAATTGGTGGTGTTCAGCTGACAGATGAACTGGTCAGGAGGGTCCAAGACAGCTTTATTCACATTATGGCACCTTGGTGGGATGGCTAGAAGATAGGGCATAGTTGGGACTGCGTGTGGCCTCTCAGCATGGCAGTCTTGGGATAGCTGAAATTCTTATATGGCAGCTGGCTTCCTTCAGAGAGGCTGTTCCAAGAGAACTGGGCAGAAGCTTCATGGTCTTTTCTGACCTAGCCTTGGAAGTCTCATGGCATTGCTTCAGTCACATTGTTTTGGTTCTAAATGAGTCTTAAGGCCAGTCGGATTCAAGGGGAGAGGAATTAAACTTCACCATTTGATGGTAAAGTGGCAAGATTGTATTGTAGAAATATGTGTGGGATGGGAGATATAGTGGTGGCCATCTTTGAAGAATGCAATCTGCCACGTGAAGTAAACTGAATGTGTGTGATAGAGGTCCCCAGGGAGTCCACGACTGTTCCTGTGGTTTAATTTTTGGTGACCAGAAAAGTGGGATTGATGTTACCAAAGGCAAGGAGACTGAAAGAGGAGATTACTTTGATAATGATGAACACATTTGTTTTGTATGTGTTGAGTGTGACATGATGGTGGCATATCCTGGTGGAAATATTTAAGTCAGAACTGGGAGATAGGGGATAGTTTGGGTGCTGTTGCAGAAACAGAGATGTAGATTTATGCCGTCTTCATAAATATCATAGCTAGTAGGATTGCAGTCTTTAGGGAAGAGCTTAAAAGGAGAAGAGAACAGAGGACCAAGGACAGAGGCTTTTGAACAACTGTACTTTGTAGTTGAAAGTACAGTTGAAGGCATTCCAAATAAATGGAGTGGGGAGATGAGGCAAGGCCCAGTGCCTGGTATCTCAGCCACGCCTAATCTGCTGTAAAGATCTCCTCATGGCTGTCACTATTGGCTTTTAACCAACCTGTTATGAGTTCTCAACTGTTGCTTCCAAACCAAGTGGTTCTTGATCCCTTTGGAGACATTTCAGATCTGCTGAACAGAATGTTTTACGGAGAACATCTTTGCAGTATGTGTGGCTTCCTTTTGTTTGGTTTTTATTTTTAAAAGCAAATGTATTTCTTTTGGATCCTTCTGAAAGTTTTTAAGTTATGAAAAATTTATTTAGGCATACAGTGTTTTAAAGTTTGCAGAAAGAAATCTGGGCTTTCAGGAAAATCCACTGAATTGGAGGCCAACTGCTGGCCACCTCTTGAACTACAGCTGTGTTAAGGAAGCAAACACTTAAAGAGATTAATGGGTAAATAACCGAAGAGTTTAACAAGAGCCACATTGTTTGAATTGGTGTTTAACAGGATTATTCAGAATGTCTTCAAATGTAAATTGACTTCACTATTAAACAATCATCTAAGAATAAATAGGAATGGAAGACACTGTTCTTTTTTCTGGGAATTTTTTGAAAGCAACACTTGTGCGCACACACGCACACACACAATATGTTGAGTTAATTTTCTAGACTCTGATTTCTTATATGGTCCTTTCTATTTAGAATTTGATGAAATATTCATGCACTCTTTAAAAAACATAATCACCTGCCTATGCATAATTACCTGCTTAAGCACTTGATTAGAGTGGCTAAATGCATTAAAGTTATCACTGTAAATTCAGGTTTCTGATGAAATTCGTATTTGCTTATTTATGCTCTGTAATCTTAGTACTTTAAGTTATTCTTTCAGTGAAAATAAACAGAGTTCTAAACTAGGGTGCCAAGCAGGGAATCTAGTTTTCATTTGTTCAGCCATAAATTAAAAGCTTAACTCTAAGGGGATTAAGTTGTTGTCTACAGTTCTAAATCTAGAAGGGAGGTTCATGAGTACCTGATACTGCCTTACTCTTCATTTTTTTGAATTGCTCTGCTTATTGAAATGTAGCTTAACCTATGAATATTTGCTGCACTAATTACAATCATTCTCACATTGTTGGCCCGAAAAATGAACTGCTGACATTTAGCAATTTTTGTCATAAAATGCTACTACTGACTCATGGATGTCAACAATTATGGTGGACAGAAGTAATTTAAATATGTATTTCAACTTTCATCAGTTAATTATAGCTACTACAATTCAAATTCAACAGAAGACTTCTTATGAAACTTTGAAATAATGAAAAAATAATTTCACTCTACTGGAGAATGAAAGACCAAGTCTCTAAAGAATATGCAGTTGAGCAAGAAATAAATGTAGAATGTAATATATGAGGTTTGGGGAAAAAGTCATTCAACTCTAAATAAAAAACATATAATCTTGTTTAAGCCTTTATTTTCATCTCCTTTGGCAGATGTGTCTAGGACACTTTTTATTTCTGAGTATCCTATGATTTTTATTTGAAATATTAATAATTAAAGAATAACTAAGTGATCATCCACTCTGGGAAACCATATTAATACTTTACATAGAGAAAAAAATCCTTTAATTTTCCCACTTCTATAGTGGATTAAAAGGATTTGGGGATAAATAAATAAATTAAAGAAAAATACTAGGACTTAACTCCAATTCTCCCCACCCCTTCCAACTTACATGTTATTTGGTCCAGTGGTTCAGATCTATCTTGCTTTTTTTAAAAAAAAAAAAAGGATTTGGGGAAAAGTAGAATGTCTTAATGATTTTTTTTCTTTTTAATTTATTTTTTAGAATGTCTTAATGTTTAAAATCTAAAACTTTGTGTCTTTGGTTTGTGACCCTTGGATTTTTATT